AAGATTTGATCATCATATTGAGTATGTTTAGTTAGCTGACGTTTTAAATGATTTTGTTAAAAGTATTGTAGTAGAGTGGTTTAATTTTGATTTTAATAAAAAAAAAAATACGAAAAATTGATGTTGTGTTGTTTTATGCATTTGTACGTATATATATATATGTAAGCATGGAAGACTTACAGAATACCTTACCTGTAGCATGCCCTGACACAAGACCCAGACCTGGTGAGTATAAACTCATGTAAATGTGAATGTATTGTGCTGTACCGGTTCTGTCCAGTTTTTGGTCATGTGAACATGTTTTAAACCTGTTTGTTTATTTACATAGATTCTTCTGTTGGTCGGTTTTGTAGGGGGGGGGGGTCACAGCTAGAAGTATTGTCAGGGGTTTTGCTGCCAAAAGTCAGCGGCAAGAAAGATTTTTTAGGAGAGCTGATGTATGTATTATAGAAGTCACAATACAGAACAAAGGTTTGTGCAGATTTTAAGATATTTGATAGAGAGTGCTATGTTGTATTTTCTAAATGTGAATAACTAATCAAATGAATGCTATTTGATAAAAGTAAAGTATAATTGTGTATTTTATTTAATTGAAAGCATTTGATTGTAATTAGTATGTATTTTGTCTTTAGAATATTGATCTACATTACTCTGAGAAAAGAGCTGGAGGGAAACATTTGGAATAATAAGTCCCAAGTCCCAGGTGAAAATGCCTCCATTCCATAAATGGGGTATGTGTATTTGTGCAATGTGTATTTTCTAATAATGTATCTGATATTTGTGTGTTTAATGTATGTCTATTGTTTGTAAAAGTAACTGTGAATGTATTTCATCATTTATAGCTCTTTTTGTATGAAATGTAATTCCTAGACAAGTAATGCATTACACGTAATTCGTGAAGTTAAATTATGATGAATTATGATACATGTAGAGTGAAGCTATTTGATAAATTATGTAAAGATAACATTTACTATAAAAGTAATTCTTTCAATATAAAAGTACAGAAGAGTCTTTGTAGATTAGACAAGGATAATGAAATGTATATCTCTGTACATATATGTCTTAATATTTTTATATATTATGTTTGTGAGTGTTATTTGTGTAGATTTGTTGGGTGTCAATGTCAGCCTGACTATTCTTCATGTCTGGTCAGTCTCCGTCACGGATCGGAATAAAGAGGAAAGAACTCTAAGACACGTTTTTGTCGTATATGAGTCTGCTACAGTGTCACTCGGGCGATGTCAACCTGGCGACTCGCTCCGGTTATGACATTAATCCAGTATGCGACCTGACCAACCAACCCAGCCTGCGAGGGTTTTGGCGATCCAGAAACTCAGTAGTTACGGGAAGGACTCGTACATGCATGGATTTGCCTCTGATGGAAGTTGTCGTTCTACAGTCTGGTATTGCTTTCATAGCACGCTCCTAGGCCAAGGTGCGTAAGTGCTAAGCTAAGAAGCGTCCCCATTCGGAGTTTTCGGAGCTTCAGTTCAAGAGTGTTCCCTTTGCCTAGCCCGTATCTTTGCAGGCGGGCAAAACTTCCTTTATGGATTCCCCGGAACCCATGGAATGTGAGGGTTCGGGTTATCGATCTGTCGCCTAGGTGCACTGAGGTCGACGATCTCTTGTCAGAAGTTACTTCTGCGGACGCTGCTGCTTCTGATGGCGAGTCCCAATTGTCAGACGAGGTCGAGAAGGAGGTGGTGACTGAGGCATCTAAGCCTCCTTTTCAGTATGCGTTCGCTTCGTATGGACGTTACCCTTAAATTTATCATCAGCGAGAAGGATTGTTAACCTCTTTCGGCGTCATCGATCCCGTAGGCGGCCAGTTTATTCAGCTCTGTGATTCCTCCTAAAACTGCCCTGCCCCATGCAGTGACATGAACCTGCCTGAGGGCATTATTGTGTATACTGCACTGGCCGCCGTTGGTGTTAAGGTTTTTTTCTGTTACTCGTACTGCAACTCGGGGGGGCTGAGTTGTCAGAGGTTTTGCCCTCCAATAACGCCATCCATGACGGTCAGCTTGCCCCTCATCCAGCTAATCTTTAGTCAAGGGACTTGTCTTCCTGTCGTAGGATGATGGATGACCAGGTGGTGTTTCAGGCTGAGGAACACCACAAGGTCGAGATGTTGCGCCTCCCCCTTAACGCCTTGTTTTATGTATATATACCCCTTCACTGCTGTCTCCTTGAAAAGGTTCCCAGATTTTCCTGAGGATCATTTGTCTGATGAGGAGAGGAAAGACCAATATCTGTCCTTAAATAAGCATTACAAACAGTTGCTGCACTTCAGTGATCCACACTGTCTAATGCAATGCTCGCTCGCCGGTCTTGGTGACATGCAAGTGAGTGAACTTCACCGTTGTTGCCTTTTGACAACCCCTTAAATGGTCCGACTGCAGTCAGTGGAGTTTTACCTACTGTGCAAAAGGACTTGAAGGAGGAGGATGTGGCTTCGGGTTTTCATTTCTAGAGACAAATTAAAGGTCCAGAAGTCGTTGCTATTCGCTGGATACTGGGCCTGCCGTTAAGAAGCCCAGACTTAATCCCGGGCCATGTTCTGTAGGGACTAAACCGAAGCCAGTCTTCATTGCCAAGGTAATAAGGGTAAGGGCGGCAAGAAGTCTCCTTTTACTTTCTTTCAAATGAATTTTCCCGACTTCATTTTCGTCCCATTTTAATGAAAGTCGGAACACAATTAGAAAATCATACCGCAGCACTTCTGTTAGTGATAGGCACGGAATTGATCATAATTCACTAGCGTGGCTGCCTTACCCCGTTCACACAGCTCTTCGACCTTACGAAGACCATGCTATCACGCTGCTTGAACGATAATTCTCAGGTCCCTGTGTTTACAACTATGTACGCTGTACTATGAATGGGACGATTTTGATGTTTCGATCATGGACATCCCTTTCTTGAGAGTACAATCCCTGCTTCTCCATGTTAAAGAGAATGTGGTCGGTAATCGCACAAAAGATTGCTCCAAATAGCATATAACTTCATGACTTCATCATTGTGAAAAAGTGTCATATTTGAGAGTAGGAGGAGAGTCGAGTGGGCCAGTAGAGGTCAGAGTGGTCAGTGGTTCTAATTAATGAGCTATGTCAGCCACAGCAGTACGTATCAGTGAGTGTCTGTGGAGAGTCTGTAGTTGTTTATTTGTTTAAGATTAGGCGTGCAATTTAAATGTAGACATATTACTTGGTTCTGGAGATCTTATTTAGTTGTCAATTAAAGCTCGGACCATATAGGGAGAAATGTTGATTGAGAATGGCCAGTATCACGAGAACAAAGGGTGGTGTGTGATAGAGTGGAGAGAGGACAGGTTGTGTGTGTGTGTGATATAGTAGAGTTTAGAGTTTTGTGAGGTGCACGAGAGAGCATGTAACTATTTGGAGTTGTGGTACGAACGCTGGAGTGACAACATGTGAGCAATGAAAGTGTATGGACATAAACCTGTATATATCTATATAGATGCAAATAAACTGTATATATAATTCGGCGCATTGTTTCATAATTAAGACAACAAAAGACAAACCATGCAGTGGATCCGTCGCATTTTGATACCATATTACATGTAGATGTCGACTGCTGGCGAATAAACGTACAACACAAGGTTCAAAAGATGCATGTCTTTATATGCATGTATCTTGACCCTAAAGTGGTTTTTTTTTATTTTACCACCTCCGCAAAACCCCAAGTTGCAACTTGCAACGCTCGGCGGAAATATACTAGCATAAGTTGCATAATTATATTATTGACCGCTCGTTATAGATGATCTGAAAATTAATACCTTTTATTGTAACCTTCCTAACCGCCCGGGCGATATTAATCATATCATTATACCAGAACGATAAAGGTTTTTTTCGGCTGACAATATTATGTATAATCGAGTAAACATATCCATTCAATTATTTTGGTATTATCTATACAAGTTAAAGTAAATGCTTTTTATCTGGTGGGAGCTGTAAACCTAACAATGCATTATAGAACTGATACAGTGTTTCGTGGATATATTTCATAGACAATGCAACGCGGACATCAAAAGGTGCCGCACCCTTGTTTTTAAAACAAATACATTGTCCGTCGACACTCACAGTGATCAATAGTAAAACTAAATTGAAATATACTTTTACAAATTCGAAATTATTTACATCTGGTATCAGGGCTTTCTAACTGTTTAGTTCAGCTATGGCTGTAGAAGCAAGTGGAGAGGATATTCTATCCACAAATCTAATTCCTGCCGACGTGCTTGATATTGACAAAACCCTATGGAAAGCTCTGAAAGCTACAGGGAATGGCGTTGTCTTTACAACAGCGTTTCCATTTTAATGAAAGGTTAGTAGTTGTCTTCCTTGTATGCTGAGGTATTCTTTAAACAGGCGCAGACCATTTATTTTATCTCCTCACTTTTCTGGTCCCCACTTTTTAATCTGATCAAGAAATATTTTTCAAATTGCATTGACATTTTTGTGTATACACATAATATCTAGGCAACACACATATTTGACTGACCAGGAATTTTCTATCCAGTACACAAAAAAAGTCTTTGGGCCATACTTAAAATATGTTTTTTTCTTTTTAAAAACAATCCTCAGAACACGGGAAATCGCTTCTGAGACGTCAACAAAACACAATTTTTTGGGGGGGATATCCCCCAAACCCCCCTTACGGGAGGGGGAAGAACCCCTCCCATACCCTCCCCCTCCTCGCGCTACGCGCTCGGGGTGCTGCCTTAATTTATCGCCCCCCCCCCCCCCCCTCTTTTAGGAAATCCTGGATCCGCCCCTGCATGTTAAAGTTTTATCAGTGGTGACTGCGAAATTGATTGTTTGATTGATAGGTTTTACGTTCGCTTCACTACCGCGTATTTCGGTTATCCAGCAGACGAAAATTGCGAAAGGGGTGGAGCCACCTTAAATAGAACCTAAATCGTGGCCAATAGGAAAACAGCGTTATGTGAATTTGACTCATGATAAGTCTAGGGAGGTTCCGAAGTAAACTCGTGATTTTCTGTTCGGAGGGAATTGAAAACAAGAAAGATGGCGTGTCTACGAGCAGAAGACTGTAAGTTTTCTAAAACCTCAATATGCTGTATAGTAGATCTCAAAGATGCAGAATTTATTTCATGTTGTGGCATCACAAGGAAAATGTAAACAGAATTTAATTTAAACCGTTTATCGTTTGTTTGAAAGACATTGGACCGAACTTGCCCCTCCGTTGTACGTACTCGGTACATGTACAGTTGTTACGTCAGTAGCGGATCACTCGGCGAAAAAACGATCCACACAATTTCTGAGAACAGGGTTACCACAAACATTGTATATTTATAGAATCTACAAAGTATATCCTTTCATGTCATATTAAAATAATGTATGAACATTGACCATATAAAACAAAATTAACAAAACAAAGCCTACCGTTTTTGTGTCTATAACGGATCACGTTTGTCTATAACGGATCGCGCCCCCTGGTGGGCCTCTGACGGTGATGCTCGATTGCTGGGTGGTCTCAAAACATTTTTCTGTCAGGTAAGCGACCCAATAGATACACGGACAACTTTAAAGACGATATCTTAGTTAAACGCTTTTGCTCAACTGCTAAGTAAAATACAAATTCTTTTCCGAACGTCGGTCTGCTCAATTGTCCATGGGGTTCCAATTAATGAAACAAAATTGTATAACGTCACACTACCACAATTCTGAGAGTTTTGGACTGATATTGAAACTTGTTTGTATTTAAACTAGTTGAGGTGCCGACATCCTTGATATCCAGGGGTTACGCTCATTTACGCTCTCTACACCCCCTGGAAAATAGAAGACTCAGTGTGCGCCACCTTGTTGATGAGACAAGAAGACTAGTTCGACCCTTTGATGTACATCAAAAGAATCTCTCGGTCACGTAACGGTAAAAATTGACAGGTTTTGAAGTCGGTCATCTCAGTCTCCTTTGTAATCTTCAAAGGACAGGTATCAGCCTAGCGATTGGTCAGTATTTTTTACCTGAGACAAATCGTGCCTTCAGTTTTGCTATGACATATTCCAGGGTGTAGAGAGCGAAAGTGAGCGTAACCCCTTGCATGTATCAAGGATGAGGTGCCGTTTGCAACAAAGACCAGAAATCAACATTGAAACATGCTTATAATAAACATATTCAAAATCCTCCTAAATTTCGTCTACGTGTACGTTGTTTTTACTGGCTTTCTGATATGTTTACTTTGTCATCGTGTACTCTTAAAATGGTCCGTTTTCATGATGACTTTTGGTTATATGCTATATGTAATAACACCAATTCACTCAAAAGAAGGGACTTCAATAGTATATGTAAACTGAAAATGTATGTCTTTTTTATAATCCATAAATGAAGAGTATATAAAACAAAACAAAAAGGAGGAAAAAACGATGTCGACGCTTTCGTTTAAAATTGTTTGTGTTTTTTGTATTCATTGATATTGCTTTTCCAAATTTCAGGAGAAGTTTCGTGTGTCTACGAATCCTGTACGTAGTGCTAATGATGTGATGTCTGATACAGCGTAAACACATTAAACAACTGTTTTAATTAAGTATGCCTTTCTACTACCCACTGCTGTTCACGGGTTTAAGGCCCATTCCTCTCTCTGCCATTTCACATAACCAGGTTGCAATCGCATTCTCACGAATAGATAATATATTGTGTAGGTATTAATATTGTCTGACGTCCGACTGGGGTTTTATGGAGTGTTCCTATCTGTATTACAAAATGTCATAATAAGCTCATTACTAATTGTTTTACAAGTGAATACGTGTATCTGGTTTATTGGCCGAGTTTCACGACTGATCGGGTCTTGAAAATTTTGAATTTGAATTTGAATTTGTTATGTCAATGGGTGACATATGATCAGCTTGCCTGTTTTGCCCGATAGGGTATACGTAGGAACGCGTGAGAGTGTTCAGACTGTGAGAGAATGAGGATTTTACACCACGGAAATCACGAGAGCTGGATTGTCTGTTGCCTGGGTGCTTCGTCTACGATATGCTTATACTGCAATTTGTTCACATGTATTAAATGTTGCCGTTTTGATATAAAACTCGGAGAATGTGTTAGATTAAACATATCTGTCTAATCATAAAGTGTACACTCTTTATTAGTGTTTTTGCTAAAATAATACCTGTTCAAAATAATTAGGGAAGTGTAACAAAATCATGGAAGTCAATAATTAGATTGCTTTCCGTGACCAACTATATTATAATTATTACATTTCTTCGTTTGTCACATTGATTATTGCTTACGTTTATGGCCATATAAGTATGTGAATTATTTTTTACTAGCTGCATTATGGCTCTAAGTGGGTTTTTTATGACACTTAAGTTGGGGAATATCTTCCAAAAAAGCGCCCCCCCCCCCGGAAAATATTACATTTCTGTTCAGCCAACAAAGGAATTAATATTCAATATTATGCATGCTCTTTTATTACCATAGTTTGCAATAATGTTCACAATTTTAATATGATTGGGAGTGTATGTGTATTGAATATTTAAACGGTGTCCAGCTATAAGCGTTTTGCAAGTGTCAAACATCTGAGAGAACATTCCGAGATGGCCCCTGTGTTCGCGACGTCACAGCTCTACGTCACACCCAGTCAACTTTTCATTCAGTGAGCGTTTGACACGCTTGTTTACAAAAATCATAGTTTTATTATACGGTACTCGTTTGGAGTTTAATGATGTGCTTTTGGAGTCATGTTTTGGTCTATGACAATATGGATTTGAGAATTAATGGCCCGATTCAAGGTAGAGTAACAAGTTTGCCATGCTTTTGATATTGTAAACATGCTATTTTTGGTATCAAAATAATCATGTGACATGTTAATATATTGGGGCGAATAAAGGGTGATTTTGTTGTGCAACTACACAATTACCTGTTGTCTTGATCTGGATCACAATGTTTTCTTCTTCTGCTCTTCCAATTTTCGAAATCGCGTGTGCACGTTCAGTTATGTTCATACGCGTGCGTACCACGAAACACTGATCCGCTATAGACACAAAAACACAGTTCGGAAAAAGCTCGCTCATATTTGTAAACAGTTGTTACCTAACAGAACACTGAGTTTTCCACAAACAATACAACGTAATTCATCCATAAAACAATATTTCATTTGGCTAATATGGTGGTTTGAAATAAAAAACTGTTTTTTTCCTGAACCGGCCGTTTTCCAACATGGCGTCCACTAGGTGTGCATCGTATTGACAAAACAATGTTTTCGTGATTTTGCTGTTAATTTACTAATTACACTAAATCTTCAGTTTTTACTTTCAAGAATAAAACTATATTAACAAGTTTGTACATTTAATTTCCGTCTAGCTATGCTCATTTTAATGTAAACAGATTTAGTTTTCCGAGTGATCCGCTATAGACAATGATCCGCTACTGCCGTAACAACTGTATCAAAACTATCCTGCTCATGATCAGCTGATTTACAGTAGGCCTACTAAAGACTTGAGTCAAGTAGCCTATTTTGTAGAAAATTAGAATGAATCATTCGTCCCTGGACCATTGAAATTCAGCGAAAAATGATTTTTATATTTTTTTTAGATACAGTTTTCCAACTTTTTGTTTTGTTTTCATATTAGATTGTACACATGTCTTGTCAGTTTATGATCGACACTAACATACATATAATATTGACAGTAAGTAGTTTCCGCAGTTTTCTGCCGGTATGAGTTAGTATGAAATCGTAGTTGTTTCCAGAGGGCCCAGAGTCTGATGACACTAGGATAATACAGGAGACTTGTCACTTCAAATACTTGCAATTTAAATTTCTATTTATCTGGAAAAAAAAATAACAAAATTTAAAGCCAGTCTGGCAGATCTTATTTGAATATGGTCGCCTTCTAGCTTTGCTCGAGAGGGAATTTCCCTTTTGCTCAGTGGTGGTGTGGAACATCCAACAACAAACTTATATTACATTATGTAACGTAAACGATTGCAGGTTTGATCCCAGCTGGAAGCACACTACTCTCTTTCCAGTGTTACAAATGGTGTCTGGCCTCCCTGTTGATGTGTTTGAGGGATAATACATTTGAGAAGGGGGGAGTATACATAGTGTGGCGGATTTTAATTGTACACAGAATTACGGTCACCTCCTAGCTTCGGGCTAGAGGAAATTTCCCTTTAGTTCAGTGGTATCAGCTGTGCACGTTGTAGAGGAGCCTATAGAAAATGTGGATTTGATCCCCAGTGTCTTTCCTGTTACACAATGCAAGCATTAAGTGATCATCACTATCTGTAGAACAGTGACAGCCTAACTAATAAAATACATCCTGTTACTAAGGCAATAAACAACAAATAAGGATTGACCTTCTTTTTGGTGGTGTAGGTAGTATGAATGCAGTTGCTATTGGCAACGAACACACATATATTCTATGGAACCCATAAGCGCTTCGAAAAGAATGCAATCCTTGCCAATCGGTTCATGCTACCGTATACGTATACGCCGTCAAAATGAAGGTTAATCCTTTTTATTTTACATAAAAAACAGTTAAAATGCTACATTCAAAGAAAAAGCAGTCTCAGTTGGTTGATACGATGGTAGCTACTGTAGCCGTGGTAATTGGTTGCTAGCATAATAAAGTTGATCTACGTTGTTATATGAGTATAGCGATGCAGTTGACTGTTCCAGAACAAAGCTGCCATTGTTTATTTTACTGTCAAAGAAATTTGAATGTGCATCCATTTAATAAGAAGTGTGCCTGGAGCATCCCTTTGTAATATAATTATAATTTAACTGTGAACATTGAACATACAATGTTAATTTTAAGTTGCTTTGATTTCCTTCGTTAGTGTTAAATATCCATTCATCGGTATAACGTTGTCGTGTGTGTGTAATGTGTAAGTGATGATGTACTGTAAAGTAAATAATGAAACTCAAACACATTAAAACATTCAAAACTTATTTCATTCTTTGTTAGTTTTTAATCTTCAATCTATCATATATGACCGACGACTCCAAACAAAACTATTTGAAGGGAGGTAATCCAATATGGCGGACCAGAAACTTGAGAATGATAACCCAAGAATGACTTGTTCCTGGGTATAGTGTGCACCCCCTTTTTGACATGACAATATATATCTACCTAACAAATTCACGGTAGACATTATGGATCCTGAACGTTGAACATTCTTGATACTCCAGGCGTTATGCTCACTTTCGCTCTCTACACCCCTGGAATATGTCATAGCAAAATCGAAGGCTCCGTGTGCACCAATACAGTAAAATTAACTGACTTTTAAGTCAAGTGTCACTCCTCTGTAATCTTCAAATGACCGGTATCAGCCTAGCTATTGGTCAGGGTCTTTTTTACTTGAGACTAATTAAATAGCTAGCCGCAGGCCTTCAATTTTTGCTATGACATATTCTAGGGGTGCAGAGAGTATAACTGAGCATAATAACCCCTTGAGTGTTGATGTTGAAGAAACAAAGTAATATTTGTCATTGGACTATTATCTTGCTAAAGCATGAACGGCGCCATATTTGAAACAATTGGTAATCCGCCGAGGTTTTTTTTCACTGCATATACGCTTTTTTATACGAAGTCAGAGTTTGCCAAGCTTTATAAGAAGGGAGAGATGTAAATATACAGTGATAACATGTATTGTTGTTTCAAACATTTTTCTGATACTTTTTAAGTAGTTTTTATCTATATGAATTAAAGACACAACTTGAAATGGCCCTAATGTGGCAATAAGATGCCTAGATCAAAATCCATCAAAGGACAAAGTTTCAGATATTGAATAGAGGGTCTGTCATAAGTTTGACTTTCCCTTCCTATTAAATTATGAAACAAGTTTTGAATTTTCATTTTTGTGATTTCTGCTTTTGTAATTGATCCACACAGAAAAGAAAGACAAAAAATGCTCATAAATCCCAAAAGTTTTCTGTCGGAGCCCAGTGATCATATAAAAGTTTGTATCAAAATTTGCCAACACACTGAAAGGGACTCCATATTTTTTTTACTTTTCTCTCATATTCCTATCAGTGTTTTTTTGCTCAGTTTTACAGCCGAATACAGGCTGTTTCCCCCTAGCTAAAAAGTGTCTTATTTTCCCAAAATGACAAAACTGAGGAAAATTCAACACAGATAATGATATATTTTCCCAATTCATAAAGGAACAGACTGCTGTCAAATTTGGGTAACAAAAAAACTGCCTATGTTAAGTCAAATTAACCACTTGCTTTAACTTGGACCTTACTTTCAAAAAGACTAGTGCTATCACTGGATTTACTTTTTGAACAATTTTCAATAGAAGGGTGTATGTTAAAAGTATTCAAAACATATCACGTTTTAGGTCCTGTATACGTATGTATAGTCTTATTTTAATATAGGACTTTGTATCTTTCTAGGTGGGTATCGTTTCCTGGTGCTGTTTTTCAACTGCATGTTGACGTTTGGCTCCTACTACTGTTTTGACATGCCAAGTGTCTTGCAGGATGAATTTCAAGGGGTAAATTGTATTATCATATAAGTGTTTGATTTTTAGTACATGTTTAACAGTTGGGTCTGCATGAATGGTTATCTTAATGTAAAATTTGTCCAGCTCCATACTTTCTGGATAAGTTCCCGGGTAACCATTTTATATGTTCCCGCGAGGGTGTGTGCATCTACTACGAGGAACTACTTTGATTCGACCTTTAGTATATGCAAAGGTCAAGTTGGTATAGACTGTAAACTAATGTAAAACTACATTTATGACATTTTCAGGAACAGGTAACCAACCTGTTTTTTGAATTCATTTAATAGTTCTCACTGAATCTGATTAACCTTACTAGTATATTAAAAGAATGAATGAAGTAACTACACCTATATCAAAACTTAAATTAATGAAAGTAGTGAACAGGTTATTGATTGTCAATTCCCAATGATTGTTATACATTGTTTGGTCAGGAATGGAAAAAAAATGTTTTTTTGACGAAAGTATGTTGAATTTTTTTCCATAGCAGTCATAGAGATTGTGACATTTTTTTATCACTCAGTAGAGCATTGCTAGACTTGTTCTGTCAATACCATTTATAAGGAAATTCATCCAATATGATTTATTTCTGATGACAGGTGGGTAATTGTACGCAGAACTCGACTGGGCTGGAGAACGACACATGCGTTAAGTGTGATGACTGCCTTGGGATGTCTGCAGCTGACTACAACCTTCTCTATGCCATATATGCCTGGACGTGTGTATTTCTAATTTTCGTCAATATTGCAATTGCAGTTTATATTTGGTAAACCTATCCCAGCGCCAGCTAAACAATAACCTTGTATACATATGGCATTTAGACCTTACCAGTATGACATTGCAAAGGTGAACCTAGTTATGTTAGGTGATTCACACATCAAGTATCAAGTTGACAGTTACAAGTACATTTTGCATTATATATCATTATACTACTACAGTCTTATAAATCATTATACTACTACAGTCTATCGTGTTCTTTTCCTGTAGGTCAAGGATAAACGAAATTTAAAAGTTTACAAAAAAACTATCGGTTTAACAAAATATTCTAAGCACCTATATACATTTGTAATACAATTCTGCCTCAAGAGTGTTACAGAGTAAAGGTGAATTTGTGTTGACTCTGCTCCAAATATGATAGCAAGGTGACTATTCCAAAGTTTTGTGCAATCTTATTTTGGTAAAGATAATAAGACATGATGAACAAAAAGTACATATTTTCTGTCATATCCAGGGCATAAGTTGTATTTAAAGAATGTGAACTTTTTCAGAAATGCAGCTGTTGTTATTGGTGCAGGATTCCTGATAGACAAGCTGGGGAACAGAGGTAAATACTGTCTCAACTATATGTCTTAGAAAATCATTGAAACAGAGCTGAAACCCTAATATCTTGAGCAAGAAACAACCAGCAAACTTGAAACATATCAACTGTGTAATTCCATAATACCTCAGACAAGCTTGTCAACAGTGGAACATATCAACTGTACAACTCTATAACTCTGTATTGTCAGGGATAAGCTTGTCAACAGTGGAACATATCAACTGTACAACTCTATAACTGTACTGTCAGTGATAAGCTTGTCAACAGTGGCACATATCAACTGTACAACTCTATAACTGTATTGTCAGGGATAAGCTTTAAACAGAGGAACATTTCATGATTGCAAATAATGCTAAAAGGACATGTAAATTTTAAGTGTTCAACAGATTTTTAATGCTCTGATAAAATATTTTTATTTCAGTATTTTAAGAAAAAAATGCGTGTAAACAAAGAAATGATTTGATCATTGACCTGCATGATTTATTGTAAAAGATCATTTATTACTTTACAGTGGGAGTTTTCCTGTTTTCCTTCCTGTGTGTAGTGGGGTCCTCATTGTTTGCCGTTGGTTCTATGTTGAAGGGCACCTCTGCCATGTTGCCCGTCATGTTACTTGGACGTTTGCTGTTTGGATCTGGAAATGGTTCCCTGACTAGTAAGTCATTACACTTCTCAAGAACATCCTCACACTGTACTGTACAGAATTAGAGACATTTGACCCTGTGAATGTAATGTGCAAGCTTAATTTTCATTTTCTTATTGATTTTTGTAACCTATGAAATAGTACATAGCAGCACTTTGATCAAAATGCACTATTAAAAATATCTTCAAATTTACAACCCATTTATTGAGAATTTGGTTTATCTGAATGAAATCATCGAAATTTATATCCCCTGCGCTATATCTCTTAGAATGTCAGACCATTCGATTTGGTATGCATATGCGTTTTAGGAAGGCATCATCTAGCAAAACCAAAAGTAGGCCAATGTAACATATTCTGACCTCCGACACCAATCATTGAAAGTGCTTGTCGGGGACATATGATCACTAGTACTGTGCCCTAAACCATTGAATAAGTTTGTCCATCGATGTTTTTTTAGAAAAATTTCAGCAAAACATTTCAGCCATTAGGATTTACCTTTAATGTACTTCTATATATCTTTCTATATAAGTGTTTGATTCTAAAATAACTGTATCCAATTTGGGAAAAACAAATGGTGCTGGGAGCCAATGGATTATATTACCTTGCAATTTACTGTGTCTTGTTCACAATTGCAAGAGCATCCTTCATCTTAAAAAGAAAAAAAGTATGGGGGTAGGTTTAAGTTATAGGTTAAGAAAAAAGCACCCATCATCTCAAAAAAAGAAAAGGAAAAACATTAAGGGGAGGGGAAGGGGTAAGTAATCGGGAGAGACTTTAATGACCATGCACTATCATAAATGATAAACTTCACATTTCATCATAGTTAAATTGTATGTATTCTTGTCCTTTAGTTGTACAGAACAGGATAACAGCATACTGGTTCCGTGACAAGGAACTAGCGATGGCTTTTGGTATCACACTGGCATTCTCACGACTTGGCAGTGTCCTCAATTTCTTCCTGACACAAAGCTTTTCTGAGACTTACGGACTCTCATGGACATTGTGGGCAGGTAGTGTTCTCAATATTTTCTTAACAATCAGTAAATGGAGTTCTGCTTGTTAAATAGATCAAAGAAGTTATTTTTTTAAAGATTGTGTATATTCAGGATATAAGCATTTTCCAATCATAAATTACTGAATCAGAATTCTGGTTGGCAATGTTCTTTTATCAAAAGCCAAATTATTTGATTGCCAAACTATAAGCTGTTTATGGATCTGTATTCTGGAGATACTATTTCCTAATTGTATATAAAATGAATTTCAGATGCAAAATGATCAGTTATAAGTTTCCAAACAGCTGGCTGTTTTCTCATAAAAGATACTGACATATTTCTCTATATGGTTGAAAATAAAAGATAATAGAAAGAAGTGATTGAGCGTTCAAAAACTGCTACTGTTATGGTGTGTTTATCTCATTACATTTGATATGTTTGCTTAGGAGCCATGCTATGCGTCCTTGGTTTCATTTCCGCCCTGATTGTTAGCTTCTTAGACATGTACGGTGTGAGACAACTAGGAGATGAACAAAACCTCAAGGCAGAGTCCAAGAAACTTGTGAGTTTTTATAAGGGCACGGTGAGAAAGGATCAAAAGTGTCACATCGTAAACATCTCAATGTTTTTAAAAATAGAAATATTAGCAATATTTTCTTGTCCTTTTGATAAAGTATTTTCTCCCTTATCTAAAGATAAACATTTACATGAAAATTTTCACTCATTATACAAATGTACTACCCAAGTTTAATGAAAACAACAAATTTAGAAAAAAATGAAATTTCTACAAATTTTAATTAAACAAAAATACGTTGTCAGCTTAATTGTTTTGTGTCAATTTATATTGACCAATGGTGAAAGCATTGTAAATAATCATAAGTAAATTTATTATTTCAAATATGAAGCCATTTATCATTTTTTGTATTTTATGTGTATATCTTCGTCACTCGCAATGATTTGTTAGTGATGTAAAAACTTAATTTCGACCCCTGCAATATTTATTTGTTTCAGAAAGTGACAGATATCAAATACTTCTCCTTGTCTTACTGGCTATTGGCTTTAGCCATCATGTTTTTCTACAATGGCGTCTTTCCATTTGTTGCTGATGCAAGGCAAGTCATTATGTCCCTCAAACTTATATGGAAAAGCATACTGTTTTTTTAATGCATTTCGCATATTTAGACTAGCCCACCACCATCAGATGATAGTCTGATCAAATTGTCCTTCGTTGTTGGTCTTATTACCGTCTATCGTTCATTCTTCCTTAAAAAACTCTTGTTATCGCTATTTCTCAAAAGTACTGAACAGGTTGTTCTCAAATTTCATGTGTAGGTTCTCCTTGGTTGATATTTGTGCATGTATGATTTTCGGAAAAATGCCACCAGGCTGCAGCCATCTTGGATTTTTAGAGTACAAAAACTCGCAAACCAAGCTGTATAAAATTTTAATCACAAGATACCACAAGATGCATGTACTGTTGAAAAGACTTTAAATCTAACAAACGAGAGAAAAGATGATAATGAAACTGTCCAGTTCTGACTGGTGAATTGGTTTCCGGGCAATATTGACCCTAAAAATGGTTTAATTTTTTACCACACTTGATGTGCTTGTTTGCAAGTGCCAGGCTAAGTTTGATTGTCAGTAAGATGCATGCATATCTACACATAATTAACTAGGCTCTCCATTTCTAATTGGTTCATTGGTTTTGAATAAAATAGTTTAATTTCAACGAAATTTGGTTTTCAGATGTAATTATAAGTCAGTGTCATGCAATGCTGGTGGTTGAGTAGTGTTCCTCCACGGTTTTTGCGTATCTAATGTCTGTATCTCCAACTTCAGTAGGAAGCTGGAGATTTTTCAGACATGTCTAATTGGAGCACAAATTGAACTGCAAACAGGGATACAATTTCCCAAGACTTTTATTGTTCTGTGTATGATAAATATGTATGACATAGAATATAATTTATAAAAGATAAATCAATGGGTAATGTTTTTAATTTATATAATAATTATGGTTATTTTCATGGCAGTGGTATTTTTTTTACAATTTTGCAATCAAGACACTGCACAATTTCTCACCTACTTTTTCATGTTTATTGCCAATAGTAATATTCTGTTAAATAAAAACATTTATTACTGTGCTGTGTATATAGTGCATTTAATGCGAGAATATTTTAATACCACAAATTAATGTAACATAATAAAAAGTCACTGACTTTGATTTGAAAATATAAGTTTCTGAGGTTTATGGTAAATATGTTTTTTTCTTTCTAACAGTGAGTTTATACATGTCAAGTATAAGTTTGACAAGAAAACTTCCTCGTATTTGGCTGGTGCAGTGTACGATGTTTCCATGGTTGTCTCCCCTTTCTTAGGAGGGCTCATAGTATGTATTGTGTTTTGTGAACTATAACATATAGTTATATATATGACTATAACATAACATTAATATTGACCTTTTATTTGAAGAGTTCATTTAAAAAGTAATGTCATTCACAACTTGCAAATATTTAAAAGTTCTTAATTTTGTACTCATTTTGAATAATCCTCTTGATGTTTTCATCTTATTGTTATATAGTGGAAACATTCACAAATTTCAACATTTGGTCAGGGGTGTCAATTTTGTATACTGTAAGGACTAGCCTGTAGATTTTGTAGAATTGGATTAATTCTACTTGCTTTGCTGATATTTTATAGTGAATATTGGAAAGGTTCACTAGCCCAGACATAAAATATACTGCTAATTTGTATAACTGGGTGTAAGGCTTTTGAGTATTGTTGAATTACATTCATTATAAGGGTAATACTTTCTTCTCATTAACAGGACATCATAGGAAGGCGAGGAATACTAGCTATCATGTGTGCCAGTCTGAGTATACCTGTGTTTGGAATTTTAGCATTCACATCTGTCTATCCATTGGTGGCAACACTGTGGCTGGGACTCACCTACTCGTTTGCTGCTGTTAGTACATAGTATATATTTCATTGATTTCTTGCCTGCCTTCATCAGATTTTGGGGAGTTTGAGTGTTCTTTGTCTAGGGTCCTTTCATGTATCCTTAAACATTTATCGTTATCTCGATTTCACAAGAAGTACTGGACTAATAAAATCACACCCCCCCCCCCTCCCCTTAGGCCTTGGGTGGGGTTGCAATGGGGTAATTTCAACCTCAAGGAGAAAGTGTTTGGCAACTTAACAATCTTTCCCCGAGGGTTGAGATTCCCAACTTCACCACAATGGGGTGATTGATTCTTAATCTCTTACCCAGTTCACCCTTTGTGTATCATATCCCTGATGTGAGGTGTGGATAAGGTTATTCAAACCCGAGGGATAAAATATTGAGTAGTAGAACCGAGGCTTTGCCGAGGGTCTTCTGCTCAATATTTTATCCTGTTCCAGTGAAGTCTGTAATAATGTCTTTAAAAAATCAGGACAGACAGCACATTTACATTGATTTGGGTTTAAATGGCTTTTATTCTACTTATTTGGTATATCAAAAATTTGTCACATTCTTGTTTACAGGCGAGCTTGTGGCCATCCATCCCTCTTGTGGTCAGTCCAGCTACTGTGGGCACTGCCATGGGCCTGACCACTTCTATACAGATGATAGGAATAGGGATCTCTAACTTGGTGGTTGGTCAGATTCTGGGCAAAACCCTTGAGTAAGTATAGTGTGTTGGATATAGAGATAGGATTGTCCAACTTGGTGGTCAGCAAAATCAAATCCTGAGTAAAACCCTCCAATCGTGCAACCATCCACTAAATATACTGTGTTGTATATAGTTTTTTTAACCTGGTGGTTGGTTTGGCCATGTAACTGATTGATCGACTAAAGATTCCAAAGGCTATTTAATCTGTGAAATTGTGTGTAGATTGTGTTTTTTCTTCCTTAATTTTACAACAGTCTGTTCCTACATGAATTGGGAAAATATAGAAAATAATTTGTATTGAAATTAGGAAGATATTCCCCATTTTTCCTTCATTTTGGGAAAATAAAACACTTTTTATCAAGGGGAAGCAGCCTGAATTTGGCTGTAAAACTAGGCAAAACAAAATCACTGTTAGATGTTATGTATTTCCCAGTGCAAGGTACCATAATTACAAGCTTATCTCTCTGTCATGTAATGCAGTAAATTGCTCGATGTATTTGTTTTTATCGGCAATGCTCTCTTGGTGTAATATTTAAATATTGTAGATTAACAAACTTGATCTACCTATATCAATAACATTATGTCAGACTGTAAAAACTGACTTGTTTGGAACAGAATTTCCCGTGACTTTTATCACATAAATGGTGGTAGATCAGATCAGATTCTAAGTACAAAACATTCATTAAGAAAACACTAGAGTAAATTTTGTGTTTTCATGGGTTTTTGTTCCCACTTATAAGAAAGATACATATATTTGTAGGTACTGATACTTCCATTTGGTTTCCACCTTTCAATTGTAAGCAGGAAATTGTTCGCAAATTTCAAAACATTGTACATTCAGTGTTTCATTGGAAGAATCAGTATGGTTTAAACTCAGGGAAATTAAGTACCAGGTGTTTCTGTTAATTGCCAATTACATTTCAGTTATAATTAAATGTCAAACGAGATGAAGGGTTTCTTTTGGGGTAAGGAAGGTGGGAGTTTTGAAATGCTTTCTTTTTTGGGCTATAAAGATGGGTGTAGGCACAGAATATGCATACTAAAGTTTTGATAAATATTACATATTACATAATAAGAATTGGTTTTGCAATAAAAAAAACCACCTCAAATTGATGTATTCAATAAAACATTTGTACCGTGACACTTTGACTGGATGTAAGCGTTTGCCTGTAACCTATTTGTCCTCAGTCTGGAGCCAGAGGAAACGCTATTGAGGTGGAAATATGTCATGATATTCCTCCTGGCCAACAGCCTCGCCTGTGTGGTAACCACAGTGTTCCTCAACATCAACGATAACAGAAGGGTGAGTCACGATTTCTGTGTAGAGTTGGTATGCAACAGTAAAAGATTCAATTATTGATTGACAGTTGATATTTTCATATATGGATGGATATTATATATATGCTTCTACGGCTGTCTTGAAAATGTGTCGTTTACAAGTGTGTACAAGTAATGTTTAAGGATAAACTAATGAAACACCTAACTCAAATGTTTTAATAAATCCATCTCTATGAATGATCCAGAGATGCAGATACAATTTTTTAGCCCACCATCATCAGATGGTGGGGTATTCAAATCACCCTGCCTCCAAGGTCATTCATGGTCATGCCCTCATTCTGTCCGTCCTTAAACAATTCTTGTTAGCCCTGTTTCTCAGAAAGTACTGGAGGGATCTTTCCTTCATTACACATGAAGATTCCCATGGTCCCTAGTTATGCATATTAGTTTTTGGGACTGATCACAAAATCAAGATGGCTGACTGGCAGCCATCTTGAATTTTAGAGTTCAAGTTTGTTGGCACTATTTCTCAGAACTTACTAGAGGGATCTTTCCCGAATTTAACATGAAGATTTCCTATGATCCCTAGTTATGCATATGGTTTGTTGGGACTGATCACAAAACCAAGATGGTGGACAGGCAGTCATCTTGAGTTTGAGAATGATAGTTTGTTAGCACTATTTCTCAAAAAGTACTGGAGAGGTCTTTCTCAAATTTCTCATGAAAGTTTTCCATGTTCATTAGTTATGCATGTTTTTTGGGACTGATCACAAAACCAAGATGGCCGACAGGCAGTCATCATGTATTAAGGTCAAAGTTTGTTAGCGCTGTTTTTCAAAAAGCACTGTAAGAGTCTTTCTCAAATTTCACATGAAGGTTCCCCAAGGTCCCCTAGTTATGCATTTTGAATTTTGGGGATGATTAAACCAAGATGGCCAGCAGGTGGCCATATTGAATTCTGGAGTAATATTGTATTAGTGCTATTGCTAAAGAGGTATTGGAGGGATCTTGCTCAAATTTCACAATTTTATGCATACCTGCATCACCCACTGAAAGTATGAAGTGGATTATAATAAGTTACATTTGACCTTCACCTCAAAGTTAAAGGTCAAATAAGTCGAATGCATAACTTTTAAACCATTAAAGATGTGTTGATGTGATTTACTGAATACCTACATCATCCACAAAAGGTGTACAGTACACTTTAATTAGGTGATGTCACCTTCACTTCCAGGTCAAAGGTCAAATGAGTGCAAAATTTCCAGCAAAGTTTTGTCCAGGATGTAACTTCAAGATGTACATTGGCAGATGAGGGGACACATGTTTATGTCCATAAAACAAACCTCTTGTTGAACACTCTTTAACTAGTGCCATCATATAAATAACAGCAAGCATGTTTAAATTGAAAACAATTTTCTTGAATTGCCTGTTTTTAAGGTTTCTTTGTTTATAATATATACAAAGAAGACCAGTTTCCAGAAAAACATGGTCATATGTATTTTGTTGTGATATCAATTTCTAATCCACCACTGCATCTTACATGTAATAGTAATTAACAAATGTATGTCAATACATGTATATCTATCACTGTAAATTGTTAGTCATTACCTGTTATATCCATAAATATGAATATGTTTGAGAATAAGCATATGAAATTATCAATACTGACAAGATACATACCTTTACAGTAAAAAGTCATAATCTGTACTCTTCAAAAAAAACTGAGGTAAGAAGTATTGGTACAGTTTCAAGTGACACTTTTTATAAATCAGAACAGAAACTTACTGAATTCCCTTCATTAGTAATTAGGTCAAATCTAAGTGGCAGTTTAATTGTTCTTTGTGCAGGGTGGAATCCTAAACCTAAGTAGAAAACAGAAGGCTATAAAAGCAGCCCAGCTAGCAGCTGACCCGGCTGAAGAGAAGGAACCAGATGAGAGAGATCCACTGATCCCAAACCAAAGACGCCCAAACATCAACTGAGGCTTGCTGGGGAGGATAACTCAAAGTTTCCTGTATTCAGCCTGGGTGATTAAAAAGTTAAAAGAGGAGTAATGTGTTATAGAATGGTGGAAATCAAGAGAAAGGAGGACAAAAAAGAAGACATTTCAATCCTGAGGTTTTGATTGACTTTTTAATTTAGCAGTATATCTGGGAGGGAAGGAATGATAAAGCTGTAAGTAGGACTGATATGTAGGGCAGGAGAGTATTAAAACCAGGAGAGGTAGTGACTGATTACTGGTGAGTAGTAGAACTGATTGATGTATAATCCATCTCACCGAAATGTCTTCCTAGATTTTTAAATGTCAATAAAAACTATTTTAAAATTTAGTTTTAGCACTGAAATAGTCAGCAAATATTAAATAAACTTCATAAGACAAGCATCCATTTTGTAAAATGGTCTTTCATGTGTGACCACCAAAATCGATCATCTCTATTTCATTTATTCAGCTTCGAAATCATTTGTCATAAGTCCTCAACCTTTCAAAGTATTGTTCACGATCCTACCTATGATATAGAGCACAGGATTTTATTAGGCCTGCCATTTTAAATATAAGCAAAAATCATCTGGTTCAGCAGGGCTTATGTTGTACTAAATTATATGATATTATATTGATATAAGTAGCCTTGTTCAAGTCCAGAATTTTTGAAGGGCCTAATGATTAAAACACCTGTGATATAAAGATTTGTTGTGATATGACATAATAACTTTCCAAGACAGGTGACCACTGTATTTGTAACACATAACATTGAGCTTGTTATTACATTCTGAAGAATCATATTGATAATTATGTAGTTTCAAAGAAAATTGATAATTGTATGTTTCAAATGAATTATTGACCCATCCATGCCACAGGGAGTTAAATATGACTAGGGATCAATTTTAATGGATCTTTTTGATGAATCTTGAAAATAAGCATGCAGGGATAAAGGGCTATCAAATTTGCTCAAATGAATGACCTTCACCCACTTTAAAGCTCACAGAGGTCAGACATTTTAAAACCTATAAAAAACAGTTTTGAATAAAGAAGAGGCCCACAGTGATGGTAATTGGCCAGTATAATGCCAGGATGAGAGCTATTAATCATGTTTGTTCAAATAACGACTTGACTTTGAAAGTCACAGGTCAAATTTGTTAAACCTTTAACTACTTCTTCTGAAGAACCATGAGGCCTAGGGTGATGATGTTTGGGCAGTAGCATGTTGGGATGAACCAGATTACCCATGGCTTCTAATCGGTTGAGACTTTTCAGATTAAAACTTCTGTTCTGTTGGTCTGATTTTGTTCACATTTAATGGTAACTGATATTTGTTGGACTACATACATGTGTTACTAATACAAACACTAATATTTCAAAATAAAAAAGCAATCCCTATGGCTTCTGCTCAGTGTTTATGGGGCATATACATGGTCAGACACATGGCATGGCCCTTGTTGACCTGTCGTTGTTCTAGTTCATACAGGAATTTATCTGAATATAACACCGTCAAAGTTAACGATATTCAGTAAAAATATAAAAAATAAAACACTTCCAAGAATATGATGTTATACCTGTTTAGAGATATTGGGTAAATTTAGAGATATTGGGTAAATTTAAAGATATTGGGTAAATAATAAACCCACTTTTACATGACCCATTCCAATTCAAGTTTTATTTTTAGGGGGGGGGGATTATTGTATGGTGTGTATGTTAATTGAATGCCTGTTGTTTGTTTGTCACTATTTAACAAACCACAGTTTCTTATCAATGATTTCTTTATATGTCTCCCTGGTTACTTGTGTGACCTACTGTTAATATCAAAATCTGTGATGCAGTAAACTGTTTACAGTACTGGGTATAGAGATATTTATATGTCTCCCTGGTTACTTGTGTGACCTACTGTTAATATCCAAATATGTGGTGCAGTAAACTGTTTACAGTACTGGGTATAGATATTTATATGTCTCCCTGGTTACTTGTGTGACCTACTGTTAATATCCAAATATGTGGTGCAGTAAACTGTTGACAGTACTGTGTAGAGAGATATTAAGGAAATATTAAATCTTTTAAATATCAATGTTTCCATGTCATTAACTACTGAGGATGATTTCTGAAACATTTTATAATTTGTGCCAGTTTGTATGAATGCCACCCATTTACTTGTACGAGATTATGACCAAATGTAATTTTACCGTGTATTTAGTTTTTATATATATTGATTTGTTTAATACTCTTGCAGCTAGAAATTAATTATATCTTTTTTCTTTTGAATTATTTTTCTTATGTTCTCTGCCATGGTACAGCCATGTTTTAATACTGTTTAATATGTAGGTGTTGTAAGCCTAATATGCAATGTACATTTCGTAATAAACTGAATTAAATAATAAGATGTTGCAAGTTGTCAAAATTAGTGCAATATTTCTCGTAATTATGTACCCCAACAGTTTTCTTGATCTGCCAGGCTATTTTCATGTTTAATATTGAATATTACCTTCAGTATTGCATAACTTAATTATGGAGAAAAAAGGCTCTTTTTTTTTTAAATATATCATTGTTTTATTATTCAAATTTTATAAATGTTACAAAAAAGAGAAAAAAATGTTTATTATGTTATTTATTCAAACAATATTTGTTTTTAATTACTTCAAATATTGTACATGAAAATTTCAGTTTAAACTGCATAAAAAAGTGTTTATTATAGATTAATGGTAATGTATTGGGCAATCAGCAGTTTTATTTGAAGACATTTTGTTCAGAATGAAATGGTTCAGAAATAATATATTTTTTCTTGTAACAAATGAGAGCCTGTGATAAAATAAATTGTAATTTTTTATTGAATGCACATAAAACTATGTGATAATAAAGGTACCCTGTTCTGGGGAAAAATTTTGACAGTGTTGCGATTTTTTGTAGTCATTATGAGGACAAATGCTGTTTTTGTTAGCTCATATAGGCCCTCTTGTTTTCTATGTACTCCTGCAGTCATTTTGATGACAGATGTTGTTTGCTGTGTAGACACATTTTTCTACAATTATTTTGAGAACAAATGACAACATTATTTTCTCTAGTCATTGTGAGACAAATGTTGACATTGTTTTCTCCAGTCATTGTGAGACAAATATTGACATTGTTTTCTCTAGTCATTGTGAGACAAATATTGACATTGTTTTCTCCAGTCATTGTGAGACAAATATAGACATTGTTTTCTCCAGTCATTGTAGGGACAAATATTGACATTGTTTTCTCCAGTCATTGTGGGACAAATATTGACATTGTTTTCTCCAGTCATTGTGAGACAAATATTGACATTGTTTTCTCCAGTCATTGTTGGGACAAATATTGACATTGTTTTCTCCAGTCATTGTGGGACAAATGATGACATTGTTTTCTCCAGTCATTGTAGGGACAAGTATTGACATTGTTTTCTCTAGTCATTGTGAGACAAATGTTGACATTGTTTTCTCCAGTCATTGTAGGGACAAATATTGACATTGTTTTCTCTAGTCATTGTGAGACAAATATTGACATTGTTTTCTCTAGTCATTGTGAGACAAATGTTGACATTGTTTTCTTTAGTCATTGTGAGACAAATGTTGACATTGTTTTCTCCAGTCATTGTTGGGACAAATATTGACATTGTTTTCTCCAGTCATTGTGGGACAAATGTTGACATTGTTTTATCCAGTCATTGTGGGACAAATGTTGACATTGTTTTCTCCAGTCATTGTGGGACAAATGTTGATATTGTTTTCTCCAGTCATTGTGGGACAAATGTTGACATTGTTTTCTCCAGTCATTGTGGGACAAATGTTGACATAGTTTTCTCCAGTAATTGTTGGGACTTATGTTGACATTGTTTTTTCTCCAGTCATTGTGAGACAAATATGGACATTGTTTTCTCCAGTCATCGTTGGGACAAACGTTGACATTGTTTTCTCCAGTCTTTCTGAGACAAACGTTGGCATTGTTTTCTCTCGTCATTTTCGGGACAAACGTTAACATTGTTTTCTCCAGTCATTGTAGTGACAAATGTTGACATTGTTTTCTCCAGTCATTGTCGGACAAATATAGACATTGTTTTCTCCATTTATTGTGGGGACAAATATTGACATTGTTTTGTCCTGGCATTGTGAGACAAGTGTGGACATTGTTTTCTCCAGTCATTGTGAGGACAGTTGTTGACATTGTTTTCTCCGGTCATTTTGGGACAAATGTTAACATTGTTTTCTACGGTCATTGTATGGACAAATCTTGACATTGTTTACACCAGTCATTGTGGGGTCAAATCTTGACATTGTTGTTTTCTCTATTGTATTACCACGTGTTCTTCATTGTGACGTCATATTTAGTGTGCATCACAACCAGATTCTCTGGCTGCATTTTATGTTCTCCCTGGCGTTGCTGTAATTGTGGAGGTGTAAACTAAGATAAAATAGTCGACGAAGTAAGTATTCTGCCGTTTAAGATAATTATATAGGATATATATTCAGGAGTGGAAGACGGGGATTGACTAAAAGAGTGTAGGGGAGCAGGAATCCGAGGGTCGGGAGCCGTGAGTGCTACCCTAGCGATAGCTCATATAAATATAAGGATTTTATATGTCCGTTTTACAAAACAGACAAAACGTTTTAATATCTAAAAAATGTCCTTATTTTCTTAATAAGCTTACATGTTTTTGCTGTTTTGGAGACTGAAAGATATTCTCTTTACTGAAGAAAGTCAAACGGAGTTTGTTGTTGTACAAGGCTTTTCTTGTGTACACGTCATTAAAACATCTAAGACTTGGGGACTTGGAACCCATGCAAGCATTGTTACTACCACCTAGTCCTTAGAAATCACATTTTGCTTTACGACATTTTCATCTTCATCGTCGATCTGCTAAATAAGACTGCGGTAATATCAAAGTTTATGTACAAACAATACACGTATTAAACGTGTCGCAACGTTTCAAGCCCGACTGGTCCATTTGCCGAGATATTGATAGACTCTCGAGTGTCTGAATGTTCAAATATGTTATTATGACTGGTATAGCAGATGTCGGTATTAAAGCTAATTGGCCTGCATTATGTTGTTTTTCTATCCTCTTATTGGTTTCTTTCTTGGTTTGTTCGTCTTCGTCACTTGGGCCACCACATCCCTAACCTCAAATATCAACCCCACACCTCATCACTCCGGCTCTACCCAAATGTCACCTCAAATATCAACCCCGCTTTACCCAAATGTCGCCTCCAATACCAACCCCGCCCCTCAAATATCAGCCCCGCCCCTGACAATTCCGGCTCTACCCAAATGTCGCCTCAAATATCAACCCCGCCCCTTATAACTCCGGCTCTACCCAAAATGTCACTTCAAATATCAACCCCGCCTCTACTCAAATATCAACCCCGCCCCTGACAATTCCGGCTCTACCCAAATGTCGCCTCAAATATCAACCCCGCCCCTGACAACTCTGGCTCTACCCAAAATGTCACTTCAAATATCAACCCTGCCTCTACCCAAATGTCGCCTCAAATATCAACCCCACCCCCCAATTGTCACCACAAATATCAGCCCCGCCCCTGACAATTCCGTCTCTACCCAAAATGTCGCCTCAAATATCAACCCCGCCCCATAATGTCACCACAAATACCAACCCCGCCCCTCACAACTCCGGCTCTACCCAAAATGTCACTTAAAATATCAACCCCGCCCCTGACAACTCCAGCTCTACCCAAAATGTCACCCCAACCGTTAATGGCTTGGCCTAAATATCAATTCTTTACCGAATTGCCAACTCAAATACCAAATTGTCACATCACTCCAGCTCTGTCCTGTAAATAAATGACGCATATTAACAACAAAAATCGTCAAGGACCAAAAGAAACGCACTCCAAGTGCCTGGTAATAAGACAGCGATGACTGACATTTACAAACAGTTCTTTGCAAATTTGTGTATGCACAATAAGGGAGAAGAACCAGCTAGATGACCACCAAGTGCTAGCCAGTATACCAACAGCCTCTCTCTCGAAAATGTCACCACAAATATTAACACCACTCCTCATCACTCCTGCTCTACCCAAATGTCACCTCAAATATCAACACCACTCCTCATCAATCCTGATCAATAAAATGTCACCTCAAATATCAACACCGCCCCTCATCACTCCTGATCAATAAAATGTCACCTCAAATATTAACACCGCCCCGCATCAATCCAGCCCTATAAAATGTCACCTCAAATATCAACATCACTCCTGCTCTACCCAAATGTCACCTCAATATCAACATCACTCCTGCTCTACCCAAATGTCACCTCAAATATCAACCTCTCCCCGCATCAATCCAGCTCTACCAAAATGTCACTTCAAATATCAACACCGCTCACATCACTCCGGATATACCCAAAATGTCACCTCAAATATCAACACCGCCCCTCATCACTCCTGCTCTAGCCATATGTCACCTCAAATATCAACCCTACCCCGCATCAGTCTAGCTCTACCCAAAATGGCATTCCAAATATCAACACCACCCATTATCACTCCTGTTCTACCTAAATGTCATCCCAGATCTTAACCCCGCCCGCATCAATCCAGTTCTAGCCAAATATTAACCCCGCCCCGCATCATTCTAGTTCTACCCAAATGTCATCCCAAATATCAAGCGTCCTCGATCACCACTCCATTTCTAACCAACAGTCACCTCGGATATTAACCTGCCCCTCGCAACTCATTCTCTATCCAAATACCACCTCCAATATCAATCCCGCCCCTGACAACTCCGGCTCTACCCAAATGTCATCCCAAATATCATCACTCCAGCTCTACCAAAATGTCACCCCAAATATTAACCCCGCCCCTCACTGCTAGAGTTCTACAGAAATATCACTTCCAATTTCAATCCCAACTCTTTTTATATGCAATTGATGATTTTCAAAAGCGTGTTAACTGTATTGAAAGAGTTCCATTCAAGTCAATTTAAAAACAGTCTTTTTATTCTGATTTCGACATTGAAGAAAATGTTCGGGTTTGTTGCGTTATATCAGGTAATGCTACTATTATACACAGCAGCATAAGATGCATTATGGCGTCATAGTTATGGTGTCATCACGTGCTCTTTAGCATTGTGACGTCATTTGATACGCTTCACAACCAGATCGTGTTAGTGTCTATATTGTCGGGCTTTCCGACCACATTGTCTGAAGTGTCGTCAGAGCATCAGAACATATTGTAATTAGGTAAGTGTTTTTACCTACACCATTCCTGTCAACATGTGAAACACTACATTGTCTCTAAGTTATATTTCTACTGTGATTTTGACATTTTTGAGTTGTTAATGAAAAATTCATCAACTAAATAAAACTCCCACCCGCTCATTTAACACGCACCATTAATTGTATCTGCATGTCTACAGAACTCCCCATTGATGCCTATGCTATCACTGTTTTTCTTTCGTGTTGCAGATTCAGCATGGATACAACTGTAGTAGATGATAAATGGAAGGAAACACGCGAGTTTTTGGGGAATGTAACGAGGTCTTTTGAGATAACATTAGACAGTGGTAAGTTGGACAAATCTCGATACAGTAGAACACAAGTTGAACGAATCATACTCATACTGATATAGTTGATATAGTAGTCGACACCAATGGAAAGCTCCCGGTAGCTTCTTGCGGCACATTTTAATGTCCCTATACTAATACTTGATTTCCGGCGCGTATTGATATGGAAGAATTAAAATCCAGAAATCTTACAAAAGGTGAGTTAAAATATTAAATAGTCCGACAGGATCTTGCTAATAGCAGGAGGCATATAACAACTATTTCAGCAGGAATCATCAATAACGAGTCATTAATAACGATTAACAATGTTTATTTTGATGGAGAAGACATAGAAAAAGATAAAGACATGTTTTCATGCAATTTTACAGTTGGATCACGGGGATAACCGATCCTAGCTATGGACGTCATTTCCAGTTGATTCTCTGCAGATATATGTCTTATGGTGAAAATATAATAGTTGCAAGATACATTCTCATACATATTCTGATGTCGTAGTAACGGGCATGTTACAAAATGTTAACTAGCATTAAATATTTTAGCACTACAAATTAGAGAGTGTGTCTCTGTAGAAACCTGAACTCCCAGCTTTAATGTTCCGTATGCCAACTGTTATATTAGTTTTAATTAACATTGGAGAGTATCCGTCAGGGAATACATTGTTATATTTTGTAAAGGGTCACACATTGTTATATTTAGTAAAGGGTCACACATTGTTATATTTAGTAAAGGGTCACACATTGTTATATTTTGTAAAGGGCCACAGATTGTTATATTTTGTAAAGGATCACACATTGTTATATTTTGTAAAGGGTCACAGATTGTTATATTTTGTAAAGGGCCACAGATTGTTATATTTTGTAAAAGGCCACAGACTGTTAAATTTTGAAAAGGGTCACACATTGTTATATCTTGTAAAGGGCCACAGAATGTTATATTTTGTAAAGGGGCACACATTGTTATATTTAGTAAAGGGTCACACATTGTTATATTTAGTAAAGGGTCGCACATTGTTATATTTTGTGAAGGAGCACGCATTGTTATATTTTGTAAAGAGTCACACATTGTTATATTTAGTAAAAGGTCACCAATTGTTATATTTGGTAAAGGGCCACAGATTGCTATATTGTGTAAATCAATACATTGTTATATTTTGTAGAGGGTCACAGATTGTTATATTTAGTAAAGGGTCGCACATTGTTATATTTTGAAAAGGGCCACAGATTGTTATATCTTGTAAAGGGCCACAGATTATTATATTGTGTAAATCAATACATTGTTATATTTTGTAAAGAGTCACACATTGTTATATCTTGTAAAGGGCCACAGATTATTATATTGTGTAAATCAATACATTGTTATATTTTGTTAAGGGTCACACATTGTTATATCTTGTAAAGGGCCACAGAATGTTATATTTTGTAAAAAGCAACAGATAGGTATATTTTGTAAAAGGTCACAGATTGTTATATTTAGTAAAAGGTCACCAATTGTTATATTTGGTAAAGGGCCACAGATTGCTATATTGTGTAAATCAATACATTGTTATATTTTGTAGAGGGTCACAGATTGTTATATTTAGTAAAAGGTCACCAATTGTTATATTTGGTAAAGGGCCACAGATTGTTATATCTTGTAAAGGGCCACAGAATGTTATATTTTGTAAAGAGTCACAGATTGTTATATTTAGTAAAGGGTCACACATTGTTATATCTTGTAAAGGGCCACAGAATGTTATATTTTGTAAAGGCCCACAGATTGTTATATTGTGTAAATCAATACATTGTTATATTTTGTTAACGACCACACATTGTTATATCTTGTAAAGGGCCACAGAATGTTATATTTTGTAAAAAGCAACAGATAGGTATATTTTGTAAAAGGTCACAGATTGTTTAATTTTGTAAAGAGCCACAGATTGTTATATTGTGTAAATCAATACATTGTTATATTTTGTAGAGGGTCACAGATTGTTATATTTAGTAAAAGGTCACCAATTGTTATATTTGGTAAAGGGCCACAGATTGGTATGTTTTGTAAAGGGCCACAGATTGTTATATTTTGTAAAGGGTCACACATTGTTATATTTTGTGAAGGATCACGCATTGTTATATTTTGTAAAGGGCCACACATTGTTATATTTTGTAAAGGGCCACACATTGTTATATTTTGTGAAGGGCCACACATTGTTATATTTTGTAAAGGATCATACACATTGTTATATTTTGTAAAGGATCACACACATTGTTATATTTTGTAAAGGGCCACAGATTGTTATATTTTGTAAAGGGCCACAGATTGTTATATTGTGTAAATCAATACATTGTTATATTTTGTAAAGGGCCACAGATTGTTATATTTTGTAAAGGGTCACACATTGTTATATTTTGTAAAGGGCCACACATTGTTATATTTTGTAAAGGGCCACACATTGTTATATTTTGTGAAGGATCACACATTGTTATATTGTGTAAATCAATACATTGTTATATTTTGTAGCTGAATATCTACAGAGAACCGGACGAGAGTATGTTAGGCGATACAGCCGTGTAATTAAATGCAGTGAACCGCCTGGTAAATACATTATCATATTAGTATATTTAGTTACATATCGTACATCAATACACATGCTCAATGTACAGATACGTGGTATTTAGATTATGTATATAAATATTTTAAGAACAGATGAATAGTATACAGATACAAGGTATACAGATCTATGGTATAAAGATACCTGTGCATATAGATACCTAGTATAAAGATACCTGGGCATATAGATACCTAGTATAAAGATATCGGGGCATATAGACACTTAGTATAACGATACCTGGGCATATAGATACCTAGTATAAAGATACCTGGGCATATAGATACTTAGTATAAAGATATCCGGGCATATAGACACTTAGTATAAAGATACCCGGGTATATACTATAAATAATAATAATAGATACTTCATGTAAAGACACCCGGGCATATAGACACTTAGTATAAAGATACCTGGTCATATAGATACCGGGCATATAGATACTTAGTATAAAGATACCTGGGCATATAGATACTTAATATAAAGATATCCGGGCATATAGATACTTAATATAAAGATATCCGGGCATGGAGATACTTAGTATAAAGATATCCGGGCATATAGATACCTAGTATAAGGATATCCGGGCATAAAGACACTTAGTTTAAAGATATCTGGGCATGTAGATACCTAGTATAAAGATATCCGGGCATGTAGACACTTAGTATAAAGATATCCGGGCATATAAACACTTAGTATAAAGATACCCGGGCATATAGATACCTAGTAAAAAGATACCCGGGCATATAAACACTAAGTATAAAAATATCCGGGCATATAGATACTTAGTATAAAGATACCTGGGCTTATAGACACTAAGTAAAAAGATATCCTGGCATATAACTACTTAGTATAAAGATATCCTGGCATATAAACACTTAGTATAAAAATATCTGGGCATATAGATACTTACTATAAAGATATCCGGGCATATAGATACTTAGTATAAAGATATCCGGGCATATAGATACTTAGTATAAAGATAGCCGGGCATATAGAAACTTAGTATAAAGATAGCCAGGCATATGGACACTTAGTATAAAGATATCCGGGCATATAGATCCTTAGTATAAAGATAGCCAGGCATAGAGATACTTAGTTTAAAGATATCCGGGCATATAGCTTCTTAGTTTAAAGATACCTGGGCATATAGATACTTAGTATAAAGATATCCGGGCATATAGATACTTAGTATAAAGATATCCGGGCATATATATACTTAGTATAAAGATAGCCGGGCATATATATACTTAGTATAAAGATACCCGGGCATATAAACACTTAGTATAAAGATATCCGGGCAAATAGATACTTAGTATAAAGATATCCGGGCATATATATACTTAGTATAAAGATACCCGGGCATATAAACACTTAGTATAAAGATATCCGGGCCTATAGATACTTAGTATAAAGATATTCGGGCATATAGATACTTAATATAAAGATATCCGGGCATACAGATACTTAGTATAAAGATATCCGGGCATACAGATACTTAGTATAAAGATATTCGGGCATACAGATACTTAGTATTAAGATATCCGGGCATATAGATACTTAGTATAAAGATATCCGGGCATATAGATACTTAGTATAAAGATATTCGGGCATAAAGATACTTATTATAAAGATATCCGGGCATATAGATACTTGGTATAAAGATATCCGAGCATATAGATACTTAGTATGAAGATATCCAGGCATATAGATACTTAGTTTAAAGATATCCGGGCATATAGATACTTCATGTAAAGACACCCGGGCATATACACACTTAGTATAAAGATAGCCGGGCATATATATACTTAGTATAAAGATATCAGGGCATACAGATACTTAGTATAAAGATATCCGGGCATATAGATACTTAGTATAAAGATATCCGGACATATAGATACTTAGTATAAAGATACCCGGACATAAAGATACTTAGTATAAAGATACACGGGCATATAAACACTTAGTATAAAGATATCCGGGCCTATAGATACTTAGTATAAAGATATCCGGGCATAAGGATACTTATTATAAAGATATCCGGGCATATAGATTCTTAGTATGAAGATATCCAGGCATATAGATACTTAGTTTAAAGATATCCGGACATATAGATACTTCATGTAAAGACACCCGGGCATATAGACACTTAGTATAAAGATAGCCGGGCATATAGATACTTAGTATAAAGATATCTGGGCATATAGACACTAAGTATAAAGATATCCGGGCATATAGATATTAAGTATAAAGATATCCGGGCATATAGATACTTAGTATAAAGATATCCGGGCATATAGATACTTAGTATAAAGATACCTGGGCATATTTCCGTCTTTGCGTATTGCAGAGTTCTCTTCTCTTCAGAACAGGTATTGATTGTTACGTCACTTGATTAAGAGAGTAACATCATCAATTTTTGAGAAAACGACGTAATTTTCTCGCACAAACCAATGACGTAACAATCAATACCTGCTCCCAAGAGAAGATAACTCTGCAATACGCAAAGACGGAATAGATAAATGTACTTTGAATCAAGATATCCGGGCATGTAGATACCTAGTATAAAGATTTAACAATCCGTTCTACCACTCGGCACCTATGTATGGAACCGTGATCATGCTCAAACATAGATTCTATGCTCAAGCTCAAGTCCTCATTCCGTTAAAAAATTATTCAATTTTCACATTTTTACAATGATTCGAAGGAATTTAAGAGAGGCATAACTGTAGCAGAATACCTTCTGAAATGTTCAAAATAAATGCTCGTCAGTATTATAATGTACATGTGTAATATGATAACTAGTTGTTATACGAGTAACATAGCTGCTACCTATTTGTTGAACAAAATGGACTCGGTGTTGTTCAAGTTAAGGTTTTTACGATAAACGTGTCATTTATTTGTTGATGATGTCATCTCGCAGCACCGACTGGGACCCTCTCCAGTGAATTCCGGGAAACGAAACAGAAGAGTGATACCAGATCTGACGAGTGGAGGAAACTACTCTTTCAGAAAAGTTATCCTGTTGAGTTTGAAAATGGTGAGTAAATCAAAGGACTGACCACGTAAACCAATTAATATAATCTTCTCAAAAAGTTACAGCTTTAAAAAAACTGAAATACAAAGTAAGTAAATCTACACTTAATACTCTATATATATCGTTTATTCGACCTGTGCTAGAATATGCTTCTTGCGTGTTGGACGGCTGCTCCGAACATTTGTCCGACTCCCTACAAAAAGTACAATTGGAAGCAGCAAGGGTCGTCTCCGGTCTTACGACCATTGCTTCACGCGAGCCATTATATTTAGAAACTGTCTGGAAACCACTTAAACAGAAAAAAGAAGAGCAGAAACTGTGCACTTTTTATAATATTCACAAATAACGTGCCCCAGCTTACTTAGAACACCTAATCCCACCAAGCAGACGTGATTAAACAGGGAGTTAAGAAACCCAGACACTTATCAGGCATCCCGTTGTCGTCTTGACATTACAAAAAAATCTTTTGTTCCGTCGTCTATACATTTATTGAATATTTTTAGATAACGGCATTAAATCCGGTGTTTTTCTTCAGACTTTTAAGAGTAAAATTTCTCGTGTACCTCCATCTGTGCCTGGTTATCTGCATACTGGAAATTGCTATCTTTCTGTACTAAATGGCCGTATAAGGCATCGTTGAAGTGGTTAATTTGTCCGTCCCCAAATTGTTTATGCGGTGACGAACCTTTTACAATCGGCATCGAATCTGCTCACTCCCGACTTCCTTTCCCGTCTTTCATCTAGTTTCTCTTCCAATCCCCCTTTACTTTTTGTGATGAAGTTGATTTAGACAAAAAAATACATCTACCATATTATTATTTTGGCAAATGTATCTCTATGTACATAGTACGTCACGTGATTTAAATGTAATTCATATGCTGTATTCGTGGAGAAGAGCTTGTAAGTTGTTAGAGCTTATCTCTCATCCATTTGTCTGTTTCGACAATAAAATATGTTTAAATCAAATCAAAGGAACATAAATATAAATACTTACATCAACTGTATACGGCACAAAAACTGACACACGAAAGATCATGTTTGCTTTTTGGTGTGTGTACAATTTACTTGTTTAAAATAAAAAATACTTGGCGTCGTTTCCTCACAACATTAGAGACTCAATGTTTTGACTAGTACAGCTTCAATTGCAACAGTACCCAGAAAAAACACGTGATCGGGTAGGTGACCCCATACCTTTTCACGTCCCATCGGGGAATTGAACCCCGGCCTTATTGGTGAACCACCCGATCACCTAGAGGTAGATAACTAATTAGATGATAAATCTTTAGTAGGATATGATATAAGATTTGGGTAGTTATTAGTATATGATGCTGGATGTTAGAATGTTTATTAGATTATAGAGGAAGTAGAAAGAAAATTATAATATTTGTGATTTGTAGATAGATAATATCCATATTTTTTTCTGATAACGGTATATATAAAACCTATATGTAATCAATATGGTTACTTTTGTCGTTGAAGAGTCCCACTGGTACAAAGTGTTACAGCGTCATCGGCCGTGCCGTTCCCTGTATGATGGACTCGGGATGGTAAGTAGGCGTAGTTCGTGACAGAACACTGATATTGTGTTAACCTGAGTGTTTTTGCTTGGTGTTTTGTCTTGCGTGCCATATATTCCCCCTGACAAGCCGATCAGAACGATACAAAACTTTCTATTGATTTTTTTTTATCGTAAGATAATTTTCAGAACTTCACCTTCAAAATGGATCGGCTAAAAGGAAAGAATTGGTATTAATATTAAAAACAGAAGTATACCTACATGTCATGTCTACCATACGATCCCCCCCCCCCCCCCCCCCCCCCCCCTTTTATCGTCTGTGAAGTTTTCATACATGTACTGTTGTTTTTTTACTCCAGTTCACACCTGCACATGTCGTAAAGGTGGATGCATGCGTCCAAACAGACTTCACTTTCGTCAGAAAATGTTTCTTGCTGGGCATGGAGTCATTCGAAAAGGAGGAAAAGACGAGCGGAATATGGACAATGTGCTGCTGTGGGCGACAGTAGAAAGTTCCACACCAGATGTGAGAAAACATCTGCATCGCAAGAAACTAACTCAGATATTATTTTTAGTTTTTTTACAGACATAGACTTGTAGCAAGTATTATTTGTTCATACATGTATGAGAAATAATCGTTTAAATCAAATGTTTTGATAATAGGTTTATAGAGGTTATACGCATATATAAACTATGCCGAATGAAATCGTCAATATTGAAAAAGTGGTAGATTACAAGTATAGAAATGATTACTCTAGCATAATTGTATAATGAAAGAGATAAATTAAAACATTAGCAGGAAATAACCTAATATCTAAATAGATTCACACGGAGTAGAAACACATAAACACGGATAACAAAGTGTAAATTAAAATAGCAGAAGGACAAAAAAAGTGTATAACATGGAATAGTATATAGACACAAATTCGACTTTTCTTCTGACAATAGAGGTACCATATAATAGACGTGTTCACGGGATGGCGAAGATATATATAAATATATATTTGTATATAGAAGTTAAGAAAGCGATTAAGATAAAAAGTAGGAGATATACGGAGTATTTGTGGAAATATAACTGCAAAAATGGAATGCATGTGCATGCATTTATAAAGCTGCGGAGATAGAATAGATAACCAACTTCACGCTGGTGAATAGATAGGGGAACAGGGTGGTTTAGGGTGTTAAAACAACTCTAAAGAGTGGTGAAGATTGGATAGCGTCACGGCCTGTGAGAATGATTTAGACGTATTACTTACGATTCGAGATGATATTTTTATGTGTTTATCTATCAAAGCAAATATTTTCGGATAACAAACAAAAAAATCGCAGATACCATTTTATGATTGTAGATATATTAGTAAATATATCTAGCTGAGGCTGTAATTTTCGGTGGAATTACATCTTACTGAAATGGGTCGCGACAGAGCTTCCCCTTATGAAGGTAGCCGATCTTTGTCGCTACATTTGTAGTTGAAATGATAATCGTAAATAAATTAATGTATTTTGATATAAGGTTGTAAATTGATAAAAGTAAAATTTGAATTAACAGTGCCGATTGGGAGTGATCTTTAATTTGATGTAGTAGTTAAATTCAATGTATGATTTTAATATCTTATTCGAATTTGATCTAATGATCTCGATTTTTATAGAATATGTGGCGCTGTGATCTTCCTTAAATAGTGAGTAGTGAAGCGGACGTAAAACCAATCAATCAATCAATCAATCGATCGATCTCCATTGATAGTGAAGTAAACGACATTTGTTCCTTTACATAATTTGTGAGTTTGTTTCCCTAATGCAAACTCTATCATTTCATCCTTTTGTAATATGTATATAAATACATAACGTGAACTTCATTTTAAAAATTCATCTTCGAAAAGGAATCGAAAACACTATTCAAACATAATATTGTACTAGTTCTTACAGTTTGCACTAATTCGTTTCTATGGCAGGACTGACTACTATATTTCGTATTAACTAGTTCACTCCTGAAGACACATTTGAACTCTTCCAATTCAAAGGTTGGAATAGTTCATTATGAAATTTCAGGGCTGAATGAGTTAAAATGGATATTCTTTATCTTTTTTTCTTCTTCTTATGGTTACATAACAATACAATAAATATGTTATCAATATTGATGATATATTATTTATTTATTTAAGACTAGATATATACATTTTAAAATTGGACGGTATTATACAGATATTTCGTTGGCTAACGTGTTTATATACTATGAATTTTAATGTGACTCTACAATTGACTATTGTATACATAATTATAAAACTGTATTTTATATTTTGATACCCGGTTTTTTATCTCTATTCTTCTATGTTAAAGTACATGTTTTATACGAAGTTGTATTTAGTCTAACATATATTTTATGACGTGTTGAATAAATATCACGTTGTTTTGTTACCTATGATACTGTGTTGTCTTACTCATACATGGTCACCAGTACACCACAGCCTCAGTACGCAAAGACAAAATTGCGTCTCTTTTAGAGTTTGTGCAAAAATGAGTAACCAGACACGAGGACACAAAAAAAGGATAAAATACAAGCGGCGGGGACATCAAAATGGACAAAACAAAAAACGCGGGACATCAAATGGACAAAACAGAAAACGCGGGACATCAAATGGATAAAACAAAAACCAAGGGGACATCTAACTGGTCAAAACAGAAAACGCGGGACATCAAATGGTCAAAACGAAAACCAAGGGGACATCTAACTGGTCAAAACAAAAACCAAAGGGACATCTAACTGGTCAAAACGAAAACCAATGGGACATCTAACTGGTCAAAACGAAAACCAAGGGGACATCTAACTGGTCAAATCGAAAACCAAGGGGACATCTAACAGGTCAAATCGAAAACCGAGGGGACATCTAACTGGTCAAATCGAAAACCAAGGGGACATCTAACAGGTCAAACCGAAAACCGAGGGGACATCTAACTGGTCAAATCGAAAACCAAGGGGACATCTAACTTGTCAAATCGAAAACCAAGGGGACATCTAACAGGTCAAACCGAAAACCGAGGGGACATCTAACTGGTCAAATCGAAAACCAAGGGGACATCTAGCTGGTCAAATCGAAAACCAAGGGGACATCTAGCTGGTCAAATCGAAAACCAAGGGGACATCTAACAGGTCAAACCGAAAACCGAGGGGACATCTAACTGGTCAAATCGAAAACCAACGGGACATCTAACAGGTCAAACCGAAAACCGAGGGGACATCTAACTGGTCAAATCGAAAACCAAGGGGACATCTAACTGGTCAAAACAAAAACCAAGGGGACATCTAACTGGTCAAAGCAAAAACCAAGGGGACATCTAACTGGTCAAAACGAAAACCAAGGGGACAAAAAAGGATAAAATACGAGCCGCGGGACATAAAAAAGGATAAAACAAAAGACGAGGAAACATTAAAACGGATAAAACCATAAAAAAGGGACATCAAAAAGGACAAAAAAAGACGAGGAGGCATAAAAAAAAGACAAAATAATAGCCAAGTGGTAAATCAAAAGGGATAAAACAAAAGGCAATGGGACATCAAAATGGACAGAAAAGCAGCCGAGGAGACCCGATTTATAGAAGTTAATTCTCGATTTTGAGCTGTGAATGAATTAAACAAATGACAATATAAAGAGCTATGACGGGTTGCTATGCCTATTTCCCCAAAGCTATGATCAGCTAGTGCGCGCGTTCAACCGTGTACTGTTGTGGCGCGTCCTCAGGTATTTTTTTATGCAGGTAGTTCTATCGGAATCCCGTGTCTGAGAATAGATTAATGTAAACAAACGAATGTAAGGCCATAGCTATTTATACATGCGATTTACGATAAAGACTCACCAAAATGCTTATTTCGAGTAATGCTGTATGTAACCACGGACTTAATCTAATTCCGTGTTGTAACACAAGATCGTACAAAACACCCTCTTTGCTTTTGCTCTTCTTGCAGCCTGAAATGGTAAAATTACATAAAATTTTCGAATAGCATGTCTTACACGTGTATTGCGCTCCTTACTTCGTGCTGCAGTCTTCCTACATTTAAAACAAATGAGACTGTCTTCGACGATGAATTTTCCCGCATGTTTGGTACTATATTTGCGATATTAACAGTTCTTTTTTTCTTGGCCTTATTCTATTCTGACGGAACAATCCCACATATTTTGTATTTCGGCATCATGTGTTTGTGTTTAAAAAATAAATAAAAAGACTAGTGCCAATTGGAGGGTAAAACAATTCATAAATATCATTTAAAATGATGTCTAACCTACAAAGCGTAGCTGTACTGTACACGCGTACAGGATTTTTTTGACATAATTCCATAGAAGATAAATCATATGTATGTTATTGAAATTTCAATAAAATGTTCCATTGATTTCAACCATATTTTAACACTTTATTAAGGAAAATGATCACATGCCTAAATATTTAAAAGATTTTTTTTATCTGAACGTGGATTCGAACTTGCACCGTTAATTTCTTCTCGTCACAAGGTAGCTGCGTTACACATTAGGCTACATCGGACAAAGACGAAATGGAAATACAAACTGCTTTAACCCAACAAACATCTGTCGCAGTTTTGAGAAACTTGATCAACCCTGTTTTTTTTTTTTACATTTTGAGCACTTCCCCAAAAGAGGACCACTTTTCCGTCATACGATTTGTTTTTGCATATTCAAAAGTTGGTCCTCGGATGGGAAAGTGTTGAAAGTATTTTTTTAAGTTTGGGAAACCCCGTCACTTTCACAGATATAGTGAGTATGGCTTTATTTGCAGTATTATATCAACAATACCGAATATCTAAACAGTTCAAAAATTCATATTCAATTGGTTTGATAACTGTTCCATGCATTTCCGCTACTAGAATTTATTTATTCATAAATATATTTTTTCCGTTTCCATAAATGCCGACTTAGGAAAATATGGGTAGTTTTCCGCCATAGCTCTTTGAGAGGAATGTTGAAATTCTCAAAGAGTTGAGAACTGTACTCGAGTCGTGTGGGGACATACGGCACCAGGGTTTTGTTTCCCACCTTGTCCAGGATTGTGTAGGTCACCAGCTAAAGAGGACACACTGAATTAGAGTTCCAATCCCGGCCTCGTTCTGTTTGGTAGTGAAGGAAAATGAGCAGATGAAGGCTATTGATTCCCACCTTGTCCGGGAAATTGTGAAGATCACCAGCTAAACAGGTCACACTGAATTAGAGTTCCAATCCCGGCCTCGTTCCGTTTGGCAGTGAAGAAAAATTAGCAGATTAAGGAGACGTTTCAGTAAAGAGCATACAACCTTAAATATTACATTTGCATTGTTTTTTCCTCTGTATTCCTGTTATTGTCGCATAGACGTGTCACTTTCCCTTTGATCTAGCTATGGTATAACCAACTAATTTTACACAGTTTTACTAATACCATATATGGTATAAGTGAGGCTCCTTCCATATACTGAATACAATGGAATTCTCCATTCTCATTAGTCAGCAAATGAAAGGTTAAAGTGCCAATTAGTGAATGTTTCACTAAATAATGGAAGTTCAATTCGGCAACATTGTTGCAAACAATTCAACAAATTTCACCTTTCCTGGTTCCGCAGTCTATCTTTTTTCCCGTTTTGTAACTTACAACTTTAAGCATGAACTAGTCCGTCTTGTAATTAAAAGACAAAAGGCAATTGTGAAACACATTTCTGGCCATATTATAAATATCAGCAAATGGGACCTTGTACTTTTCTGTAGGCATGCTAATATTCACATTAGTAGGCTTAATATTACCATTTTGACATTTAGGGCCCTCAATGCATACCATTTTCTCCTTCCAACGGGATCGGGGAAGCGGCTTTTAACGGGTATTTAATTATTCCTCTGGCTTATCTTTAATCGCCGAGAGAGGCCTTGACTTTGAGACGAAGTCTGAAATGCTGCAAACTTTTTAGGTCACCCGAGACAAAGTCTCAAGTGACCTATTGCGATCGCC